ATATATATATATATATATGTTATGTTTATGTATATATTATATATATATATATTATATATATATATATATATATATATATATATATATTATATAAATAATATATATCATAAATATATATATTTATATATAATATATATATACATGTATTTGTGTATATATCTAGATATCTATATCTATATATATATATACATATATATACCAATATATTTATATATGCAAGATATATATATACATATATACACGCACGCATATATATGAATGCAAATGTATCCCGTATACATGCAGTAAGGTGCAGAGGGAGGAACCAGGCCGCGCCTTGCACGGCGGGGAATTCGGAAGGGCAATGAACAGGCAGTTGCAATCTGACAGAAGCTACAAAGGACGGTCGCCACATTGCAAAGCGTCATGCCTTTTGTTGGCGACGCACGCCGGCACTCGCAGGCGGAAAGGAATGGCATGCGAGAGGAAAGAAGAGACAGGGGCGCTCACCTTCGACGGCTCTGTAGGACGTAGGGCCGGGCGGGTCTTGCGGGAAAGAGAGACGGAGGGAAGTCAGACTCACGGAAATCGGGCGGGGGAGGGGGGGGAGGGAGAGAGAGAGAGAGAGAGAGAGAGAGAGAGAGAGAGAGAGAGAGAGAGGGAGAGAGGAGAGAGAGAGAGAGAGAGAGAGAGAGAGAGAGAGAGAGAGAGAGGGAGAGAGAGAGGACAGAGAGAGCATATTATAGAAAGAATGGGAGAGGTAGAGAGTGAGAGAGTAGTGAGGAGGAGAGAGTGATGAGCCACGTGAGCGGGAGAGGAGAGATGGGTAGATGGGAGAGAGCGGACGGAGATCGAGACGACCTGAGAGGAGGGGGGAGAGAGAGGGGAGGCGGAGGAGACCCGAGAAATTGGAGAGATGATGAGGAGGGGCAGGATGGAGGGGCTGAGAGGGGAGGGGTGGAGGGAGAGAGGAGAGGAGGAGAGAGAGAGAGGGAAGAGAGAGGAGGGACCGAGAGATGGATTGTGGGAGGGAGAGAGACAGAAGGGGAGGGAGGGAGAGAGAAGAAGGTGGAGAGAGGCCAGGGGACCGGGCGGACCCGGAGAGGATAAGCGAGAGGAGGGGGTGAGAGGATGAGAGGTGGGAGAGAGCGGAGGAGCGTGCGAGCGAGGGAGGACGAGACAGAGCAGAACCGGACAATATAGAGGACAGGGGGGGGGGGGCCAACCAACCAGTACACCAGAATAGCGAGACATATAGAGACAGACAGACATAGAGACAGACAGACACAGAGACATACAGAGAGAGAGAGACAGACATAGAGTGAAAGAGACACAGAGAGACAGACAGAGACAGACAAAGAGAGACAGAGAGAAACAGAGAGAGAGAGAGAATAAGAGAGAGACTTAGATAAAAAGAAAGAGAGACAAAGACAGACACAGAGAGACAGAGAAACAGAGACAGAGAGAGACAGAGACAGGCATAGAGTGAGAGAGACACAGAGAGAGAGAGAGACAAAGACAGAGATAGAAAAAGAGTGAGACAGATAAAAAGAGAGAGACAGAGAGAGAGAGAGACACAGACAGATAGACAGAGAGAGAGAGAGAGACAGGGGGGGGGGGGCTCGGCAGAGAGAAAGAGAGAGAGAGAGGGAGGGGGGAGGCAGAGAGAGAGAGAGAGAGAGGGGGTGGGGGGGGGCACAGGGAGAGAGAGAGAGAGACAGACAGACAGGCAAAGAGAGAGAGGGAGAGAGGAAGGGATGGAGGGAAGGAGAGAGAGAGGGAGAGAGAGAGAGAGGGGGAGGGATGGAGGGGAAGAGAAGAGTGAGAGGAAGAGAGAGAGAGAGAGAGAGAAAGAGAGAAGATGGAAAAAGAGAAAGAGAGAGATGGTTGAAAATATATAGAGAGAAAAAGATGAAAAAGAATAAGATACAAGAGAAGAGAAGGACAGCAAGACAGGAAGAGAAAGAAACACGTCCGAGTCACTCGAGGCGAGTGAGGGACGGGCAGCACACACAAATGCTTAGATATCGACACACGAAAACCACGCACACACGTGTACAGAGCCTTGGCCCCACGGCCGTGGCCAGACCCACCTGGCCTTGCGCGGAGGACTGTCCAGTCGCAGGCTGAGCAGGGAGACGCCGTCGTCGCTGGGGGCGTTGGACCTGCAAGGCAACGGGCTGGGCCTTAGGTGCGGGCAGGGGGGGGGGGGTGCGGGCTGCGGGCTGCGGCTGCCAGCAGGCGCTACTCGCTCGGGCGGCCGTGGGGCACGCTTGCGGGGGAGGGGGGGGGAGGCCGCTCAGCATTGGGAAGGGGGGAAAGGGGGGCACGCTATGTGAAGGATGTGTATATGTCTATATATCTATATTTCTCAATATGTATTATATACATTCTATATATATAATATATATTACATACATATATATATATATACATATATATACATATATATGTGTATATATATACATATATATATATATGTATATACAATTATATGTGTGTGTGTGTGTGTGCGCGCGTATGTGCGTGCTTCTATCTAATAATTTCTGCAATAACATCCTTTATTCTTTGGTGCTTTGGCCTGGCTCCCGCGGAGGCCTAAGGCGCTTCTGCAGGAAACGCGGGCGGGAGGAGGGAAAAGCGCCGGCGGCCGAGGTGCGGAGCTGCCTTCACTGCGGCGGGCAGTGTGTGGGGAGACTAAAGATGTATATATATATATATATATATATATATATATATATATATATATATATATGTGTGTGTGTGTGCATGTAAATATGCATATATGCGCACACGCACGCACATACGCACATACACACATACATACATACACATGTATATGTACATACATACACACACACACACACATATATGTTTGTATGTATGTATGTATGCATGTATATATATATATATATATATATATATATATATATATATATATATATATATATATGTATACACACATACATACGTCTGTATGTATGTATGCATGTATATATGTATATATATATATATAGATGGTGGAGAGATATAAGTGATATAGAGTAGAGAGAGATAGATGATAGTAGATATGTAGATGATGAGATAGGAAGTAAAATGGAGACACGCATATAGAGACAGATATACATAAGAGAGGTGGGAGCCTAGAGAGAGCGAGGGAGTATAGAGAGAGAGAGAGAGAGAGGGAGAGAGAGAAGAGAGAGGAGATAGAGAGAGAGAGGGAGCTGAGAGGAGAGCGAGAGAGAGATAGAGATAGAGAGAGGGAGGGAAGAGAGAGAGAGAGAGAGGTAGGGAGCTGAGAGAGAGAGGGAGAGAGAGCTAGAGAGAGAGAGGAGAGAGAGCGGGAGAGAGCGAGAGATAGAGATGCAGGAGGGAATATGAGGAGAGAGAGAGCGGGAAGCGAGGAGAGAGATGGAGCTATAGAGAGAGGAGGGAGAGAGAGAGAGAGAGAGAGATGGAGACGAGACTAGTGTAGAGAGATGGAGAGAGAACGAGAATCGTAGAGAGAGAGAGAGAGATAGGGAAGAGAGAGAGATATAGGTGAGAGAGAGAATATGAGAGGGGAGAGAGATAGAGAGAGAAGGGGAGAGAGAGAGATGAGAGAGAGAGGAGAGAGAGATGATAGATGTAGGGAGAGAGATATAGAGATGGAGAGATGAGGAGATAGAGTAGGGAGCGAGAAGAGAGAGCGGGAGCGAGAAGAGAGGGAGAGAGAGAGAGAGAGGGGGAGTAGAGGAGAATGAGAGAGAGGGAGAGCGATAGAGAGAGAGAGGGAGCGAGAGAGAAGAGAGGGACAGAGAAGGAGAGAGAGAGTAGGGAGAAGAGAGAGAGGAGATAGGAGACGAGGAGAAGAGAGAGAGAGAGGACTAGAGGGGAGGAGAAGAGAGAGCTTGAGAGATAGAGAGAGAGGAGAGATGATAGCGCGAGCGAGAAGATGAAGAGATAGAGGAGAGTAGAGAGATATAGAGGGAGCGAGCTAGGGAGAGGAGGAGAGGGAGAGAGAGAGAGGTAGAGCGAGAGAGTGGAGAGAGAGATAGGTGAGTAGAGAGAGATGGATGAGAGAGAGGAGATAGATAGAGGGAGATATAAGATGAGAGAGATAGAGGGAGAGATTCGATGTATAGATAGAGAGAGGGGGAGTAAGAGAGATGGAGTAGAGAGAGGAGCGAGATGATTAGAGGGATAGAGAGAGAGGAGCGAGAGAGGAGAGATGAGGACAGAGAGAGGGGTGGGAGAGAGGAGGCGAGGATGTAGGAGAGCGATAGAGGGGAGATAGGAGAGAGAGGAGAGAGAGAATGATAGAGAACGAGGGAGAGAAGAGAGAGAGGGAGAGAGAGGAGGAGAGCAGAGGGATAGAGAGAGATAGATAGAGGAGAGATAGAGAGAGAGAGAGGAGAGAGAGAGAGAGGGAGAGAGAGATGCTAGCGAGAGATAGATAGAGAGAAGCGAGAAGAGAGAGAGAGAGGGATATAGCTATAGATATATAGATATATATATAGATATAGAGATGTAAGATGTAGATAGAGAGGGGATAGATATAGAGAGATATAACAGATAGGGAGGGTAGAGAAGATAGAGGATAGATAGAATATATATGGAATAGATTGAGAGGAGAGGAGATATAAGAGTAATAGAGATGTAGCTATACTCCCCTATAGATCGGATATTCTCTAGGTATATAGAGAAGAGATAGAGAGATAGGTAGTATATAAGATAAGAGCGGATAATGGAAGAGATATAAGATTAGAGAGATAGATGGAGTATAGAGAGCTAGAGGGATAGAGATGATATCTGTAGAGGATATATGTAGAGATAGTAGATAGAGAGGGCGTTGCGATAGAGGGAGGGATTATAATAGAGAGGGAGAAAAGATATAGATGGAGAGGAGAGATAAGTCGTATATATATATATAGAGATGTAGTAGGGAGGATATAGAGAGAGAGATGAGTAGAGAGCGAGAGAGAGCGAGAGTTATGGAGGGATAGATAGAGAGGTATGAATAAGATATAGGAATAATATAGAGAGATAGATATAGAGTAGAGAGATAGAGGCGGAGATAGAGAGAGTGAGAGAGGTAGAGAGAATATATGATATAGAGATGGAGTAGATAGATTGGAGATCTAGCTATAGAGATAGGGAGGAGATATGAGAGATTGAGAGAGAGGAGAGAGAGATAGATGGGATATATAGAAGTTATATGGATATATATATAGATGGGAGGAGCATATATCGATATAGGTTAGATAGCGAGATAGATGGAGATAGAGATATATAGGTGTATAGATATGAGAGATGGAGAGATGTAGAGCGATAGATAGATGGAGAGAGATAGAGATAGGTATATATGATAGATAGAGGGGAGAGAGAGATGAATAGGGGGATAGGGATAGAGAGAGATTTATGTATAGGGATAGAGGGAGATGAGAGATAGAGTAGATATGTATGGATGTAGGAGATAGAAGAGAAGGGCGAGAGAGATAGGGAGATGAGGGCGAGATAGAGAGAGGAGAGAGAGAGGATGAGAGCGCGGGCTAGCGAGAGGGGAGAGAGAGAGAGGGAGAGAAGAGAGGGCGAGAGATATGGAGAGATGAGCGAGAGGAGAGAGCGATATATAGAGAGAGAATGTAGAGAGGGAGAAGAGCGAGGTGTTAGAAGCAGAGGAAGAGAGAGCGAGGTATAGATTAGAGAGGGAGAGGAGGAGAGAGAGAGCGAGGAGAGAGAGATAGATGTGTAGAAGATGGAGGAGAGAGCGGGAGATGAGAGATAGGGAGAGAGAGAGAGGAGAGATAAGCGATATAGAGAGAGAGAGAGAGATAGGGGCTAGATATAGAGATATGGGAGAGCGAGCTAGGAGAGGGAGAGAGAGAGATAGAGAGAGGGCGAGAGAGAGAGGGAGAGAGAGAGAGGAGCGAGAGAGAGAGAGATAGAGAGAGAGAGAGGGAAAGATGAGAGAGGGGGAGAGGGTAGAGAGAAAGAGAGAGAGGGGGTAGTGGCGAGATAGAGATAGATAGAGAGAGGGAGAGGAGCGAGCGAGAGAGATAGATAGGGAGAGGGAGGAGGACGAGAGATGCAGGAGAGTGGAGAGTAGAGAGAGTAGAGAGAGCGAGAAGAGAGATAAGAGGAGAGAGAGAGAGACGAGAGGGAGAGAGAGAGAGAGAGAGGAGAGAGAGATATAGGTAGAGAGAGAGAGAGGGGATAGAGAGAGAGGGAGAGAGAGGAGAGAGAGAGAGGAGCAGAGAGAGAAGAGGAGGGGAAGAAGGGAGGCTAGGGAGAGAGATAGGAGAGAGGGAGAGAGAGAGTAGAGAGAGAGAGAGAGAGAGAAGAGAGAAGAGAGAGAGAGAGGATGAGAGAGAGAGAGAGAGAGGCGAGAGGATAGAGAGAGAAGAGGGAGCGAGAGTAGGACGAGAGAAGAGAGAGAGAGAGGGGAGAGAGAGGTAGGAGGAGAGAGAGAGAGAGAGAGTGCGAGCGAGGAGAGGGATTAGGAGAGAAGAGCGAGGGGAGGGAGGCTAGAGAGAGGGAGAGAGAGAGAGGGAGAGAGAGAGGAGAGAGAGGAGAGAGAGAGACCAGGAGAGAGAGATGATAGAGAGAAGAGGGAGAGTAGAGAGGGAGGATAAGGAGGGTAGGGGAGGCGAGAGGGCGAGAGGAGAGAGAGAGAGAGAGAGAGAGATAGGAGGGAGAGGAGAAGAGGAGAAGAGAGATAGAGAGAGGAGAGCTAGAGAGATAGAGGGAGAGAGCAGAGGGAAGAGAGGGAGAGAGGGCGAGAGGGCGAGAGAGAGAGAGAGAGGAAGGGGCGAGAGGAGAGCGGGGAGAGATGGGAGAGAGGGGAGAAGAGGAGAGAGAGAGAGGAGAGAAGAGAGAGAGAGGGAGATAGAAGAGAAGGGTGAGAGTAGAGAGGGAGAGGGAGAGAGAGAGGAGCGCAGAGAGGAGAGGGAGGAGCGAGGAGGGGAGAGGGAGAGAGCGAGGCAGAGGAGGAGAGAGAGCGGGAGAGAGAGAGACGGGAGAGAGAGGCGGCGAGATGAGAGGCAGGAGAGAGAGAAGAGAGAGAGAGGAGAAGAGAGGAGAGAGAGAGAGAGAGAGAGCGAGAAGAGGAGATGAGAGACGGAGCGAGAGAGAGAGATAAGGAGAAGAGAGAGGAGCGAGATAAGGAAGAGAGAGAGGAGAGAGA